ATCAAGATTTCATTTAAGGCAACAGACAACACTGGCCGACAGCGCTCCAAAGGGATCCGCTGTCCCTCTCCTTGATGAGCATCTCTGTTCACAACAGCTTCCCAAACAGCTGGACAGACAGCTCTGAGCTGCTGTATGCTGTGCATACCCCCTTCATCAGCAAGGGTGGTCCAATCCCTTACCCTCCACTTAGAATGATATTCTACAAGAGTCTTCTGCTACTATTTCTTCCATAAAAGAATATGGTAAGGAGTTTATTAAATATGTTGACTTTTGTATATACCAAAATCAACAGGACTACAAGATCATCTTCAGGTTCAAATTCCACTGCTGAACATCACTCAATTCTAAATCACAGGTCACCAATACATAAGCATAGATCTTCCTAAATCCAATTCGCTTTTTAAACCTGCAATACAGTTACTACAAGTGGAAAGAGTCTGATTTTCCATTTAGGTTTCCCAAGACATCTTTTTTTTCCCCTCAGTACAAAACTTCAGAGAAAATATACTGATCTAAAGTAGATACATTGTGCCTAATGTTTTAGGTGCAAAGGAAAACAGTTATCTAAAAGTCATATAAGCTGTGACCTGTTCTCCCAAATAAGCCAGGTTACACATGATTAACTTTTTTTAAAAAAAATCAGCCTTTACTACTGGTAACATTACCCTTTTCTGAAATCTAATAATTTGGAAATAATTTTAAGAACCCTGGACATAAAGGGCATGTATAAAATCACATAATACTCCATTAAATCTTGTTTATATTTACTTCTTAAATGAAAATCATTAAGAGGAGTATTTATTCAGCTGGTTAGGTTGGGTGTATTGTTTTATGCTTTTAGTTTTTAAGAGCTATGTATAACCATGTGATTATTCAGTAAAAACTGCTGGATTTTTCAGTCTCATGTCCACCAACACTACTGAAGCTTGAGAGCATCAAACGTAGCACTTCTAAGAAGGGTATTTTTGGCAACAAAGAAATATAGAGTTATAATAGTCAAAAGAGCAAATACGAGTCATGGTAATGAATAACTGAAGAACTTAATGCTTTTAGTATGTAACTAGACTTCAGCGATCAGTTTCTAGGTTAAGAATATTTTCCATTCATTTATAATTTGTTTCTAATGGAATCAGATGTTAGCTGTGACATTTTGGGGTCTCCTGAATCAGCTTGTGATAGTCTCAAAAGTGCTTTTTTAAGGTCAGTTTACTCCAGAGATAGTGAAGACTGTAGATTTGAAGATTGCAATGGACCAGAATTCCCTGCAGATTTGCAAATCACTCTTGCACACCCAGCCCCGGCCCTTGCAGAAACAACACTTGAGTCTATGCTGGTACACCAGTTGCTTCCAAAATGTCAGACTGTGGGCACTTGCACTCCCTGAGGCAGGGTCTCACACAGGCTTGTGGATCCTTCTATTGCATTTCAGAACTACAAAAGGGGTTTGCATGCTTATGCACTGCCAAGATAAGAGCCCATGTCACTCTTGCAACAAACATGTCAAAAAAGTTTGCTCATGTTTCTCACTTACATCCTCCTCTCCATCATCTATTACAACACACTTAATTCTTTTTGTAAGGAGTCTCCATGAATCTGATCCTTACCTTTCAGATAGAATAGTGTAAGTAAGAGGCAGACGCAGACAATAAGCAAGCAAGGAGGATCACACATCAATAAAACAACATGCTATGAAGAGACAATATACTCCTTTGGGAAGAGGGAATGCTTTTTAACATGCATTTGTATAGTGTCTATCTAGATCAGTGGAGCCCCTTTCTAGAACATGCTACAGCAACAGAGGTAAGTACTTAGATTCCAAGCGAAAAATACATTTGCATACAAGTTCAAATCCTTCCTGTGCTGGACCCAGAAAAGTGTCCTACTGAGTTTCAGCTTTGGGAACAATTAGATGTCTTATAGAACTCAAAGTCACAGTGGGTGTCCTCCAGAGGTCAATATGTTGAGGGGAAACAGCCTGCAAACATCCTAGAGGAACTGGAAGACAACTGACAACCTGAGGTGAAAAAAAGAGAGGCTGGCATCATAGAAAGATGAGGGAATAAGAGAGGTGAAAGGAAAAAAACCCATCAGAATACAGAAACAAGAGGGACTGAGAATTGCTCAGTGTCATCAGTGCATGAAAATTTGAATTTGATGCCAAGGAGAGAGAAAATGGAGAGGTTCAAAGAACATGGAATGAAAATGAGACATTAAGAAAGATGATTAAATGCTCCCCTGTACCCTAAAGTGTCACTACTAAATTCTTCCCTTCTCCTCACCCACTATTCTTCCACTTACATATACAAATAATTTTCCTTCCAGACCTCTGACCCCAGTGCCTTTTCTGCTGTGTCTTTCTACAGTCCCCAGGAGCAGGGTCCTACTTCACTATGTGAAGCTTGGGCTACAAAGCTCTGCTCTTTGACCCTCAACTAGGGCAGAAAACCAGCAGCTTCTCCTTCCTCCAGCTCCCGAATTCCACGAGTTGCTTCCACTGAGAGCAAGGAAGGAAAATGGTTTGTAATTTCTCCTCCCTTCTCCTTCAGCCCTGCAGGACAACAGATTGCCCAAGGAAAGAAGAGACTCCATTTCCTGCCAAAGAACCACACATTAGATCACATGTGCTTCTTTCATGAAGATCAAGCCAGTACATCAAGCGCAGGGTCAGAAAAGGGACTCTTGATGTGGTGAGCATCCTCCAAATGCAAACGTAAACAGCACTATTTGTTGTGCATCGTGCTGCTAAACACAAGCTATTACTACATTTTACTACATATTACTATGTTACTACCATTAATACTACAGCCTTGGTCTCAGAATAGGATTACGGTAGTATCCTACTGGTTTATGGATTCTTGATCGACCAAGCACACTAATTGAGCCTGAAGGACTAATTTATGACAGATAGTTCCTCTTCATTAGCATCTGGCTTCGTTAAAGCAGTACCCCACAACCACACACAAGCACTGGTTCATTACAGCTTGTCAACAGTGAAGCAAACCTGAGAAGAGGACATACGACAGCGTATATACTGTGACTGTTTTATCCGCATATGGCACATGTATATGGCTGTAGACAAGCTGCACTGTATCTATAAACGAGTTGTATCACATAGGAGCTGTACTTTTTACAACTACATTTCAAAGCCCAGACTGTAGATCAGCATCTGCTAAACTACTCACTGTCAGGATTTCACCCCATAATCCTAAATAAAATGTTTTGGAGGAGAGGACATATGGACACTTACCCTGTAGCCAAACCTTTTTGATCATTTATAAGAGCTTAGTCTTCTGACATGCTGGTTGAAACTGCTTTGTGGGCAATCCCCACGAGAAAGAGAGATTTTTCATGAGGATCTGATATCAGATGATGCAAAGGCATGGGCAGTGAGCCTAGCCATCATTCAGCTCTTGAGTTAAAGAACAGGAAATAACCAAATTGAACAACATCCAAAAATAAATAGCGCAGGTAATAAGCGAATAACTACTGATTCTCCATGCCAAAGTCAGTCAAATTATGATTGCTGAACTATGCCTCCATGCTTGAACTGGTACATGTGTTAACAAGCTCTGTATTTTTATAGTTCCTGCCATTAAAAATAAATGCATCATTTATTATCGCAGCTAAAAATAGTAACCACACAAAAAGGGTGGTTCAGTAAACTAAACCATCCCATTGGCAACAAGTAAAGTAAGTTTCTGAAACTTTTGCCTAAACAAGACATTTTTAATGTACATGTATATGTATTTTTTATTAAACGCAAGAAAGCATTAGGTGGAAGGTGTCGAGTAGTCTGGGCAGTAGTTTTCTTGGAGTTTGTTTACATTACGCTGCAAGACAATACAATTTCTCAACACAAATGCAGTTAGCATCATACAACTCTGCAATCCACAGCTGCCACATCACAAGCCTTTTCAGACCATGGCCTTCACTAGCAATGGTGAGTGTTTAGCAGGCTGGATTTTTGTTAGAAGTGAAATCACAGCGGATCGAGGAAACCCACACTTCAGCCAATCCCAAAAACATGAAGCGTGCACAACTTCCCACACCATTAGGCTGACCTGCCATAGCGCTGGGCTGCTGACATGACCTTAATGCCAGCTTGTTCGAGTCTTCTTAACTTTCTGATCTCTTCTGCATCTTTCCCCTTGGATGCTGATGTTTCTTTTGCACTACATGAAGGAGACTGTTCTATGGAGTTTCCTTCGCTTTGATTCAAACCTACTTGATTTTTAAGGGAGCTTGCCTCAGGAGCCATGGAGCTCACTTTCTCCTGTTCACACAGTCCTGATGTTTCATTCTGTTCTTCTTCTATGGTTTCAGGGTGGGGTTTGCTATTGAATTACACAAGGCAGTTTAGTGTATGCTGTGCTTGAAGCATATAGGCTTATTTATTATAAGCACATTTTGTTGATATCAAGACGCCAAAGGTTATTCTGATGAATGATCCGGGAAGATAATTATGCTCTTTAATGGAAGTTGCTTCTTAGGCCAAATCAAAATTGAAATCTCAGTTGACAAAACCAGCATGCAGAAACACATAGTCATAGCTATATAAACTGTACTGCTGTATAGAACATATAAATAATTGATTTTTAAAAACACAGCAAAAGTACTATCTATTTTGATTGAATACATCTAATGTTACTTACAAGTGTCATTTGTCAGCGAGTAACTGTCTTGACAACTGAGACAGATCATCCAGAACATTTTTGCCCAGCCTTGGGTTTGAGTCAACATCCATGGTACTTATATTAACCAACATCTTGTCAAACACAAGTTATACGTTGCATTGTATGGTAAATAATGATATCAAGACAGTGATTTTCCACTGGTCCCACCCTCGTCAATTGCCACAAATAATTTACCAGTACCATCTCAGCAAGAGATTTACTACAGCAGAAGGCGCTCCATACATCTTACGAAAAGAATGAAAATCAGGCAAGTGTTAAAGCATCATCACCAAGGAAGGGTAAAGTCAGACAGGATGGTCTTACCTGAAAGGTCTGTCTCCCAGTGGTGAAGTCGCCGTGCTCCAGCTCTTTCGGTACTCTTCTCGTTCGGCTTTCTTTTTCCGAAGTGGAGCAGGTACATAGAAAGTCTGATTACTCTTGTTCGGGAGGTACTGGTTAAAAGGCACAGCTGATTTAGGTTCACCGTGTGAGGTCCGCCTTGCCAACATATCATCTTTTTTCACATCTGGCATCTTTCTGTGTGGCAGGTCAGTTTCCGAGTCACTTCCTCTCCCTAGTGAGGAAGGAGAAAAAAAATCCCTCTTCTTTTCACTTCCATCCAGGTTTCTTTTAATCATAAATCAGAGAATATACCACCAAAAAATTACATTTAGCATGTGAGCACCGAAATATGAAAGCCTCTTTTACCTATATTTATATTTTAAAATCAGTCAACTGAAGGTAGCAGCCAGGATTTCTATACAGACAGTAAACAGCTTTTTCATAGAATCATAGAATGGTTTTGGGTTGGAAAGGACCTTCAAGATCATCTACTTCCAACCCCCCTGCCATGGGCAGGGACACCTTCCACTAGATCAGGCTGCTCAAAGTCCCAGCCAACCTGGCCTTGAACACTTCCAGGGATGGAGTAGCCACAACTTCTCTGGGCAACCTGTTCCAGTACCTCACCACCCTCCAAGTGAAGAATTTCTTCCTTAGATTTAATCTAAATCTACCCTCTTTCAGTTTCCTCCTTATCCTATCACTATATGCCCTGGTAAAAAGTCCCTATCCAGCTTTCTTGTAGGCCCCTTTTATGCACTGGAAGACTTCAAGAAGGTGTCCTCAGAGCCTTCTCTTCTCCAGGCTGAACAGCCCCAACTCTCTCAGCCTGTCTTCATAGGAGAGGTGCTCCAGCCCTCTAAGCACCTCTCCTATTTCCATCAACTCTTATTTTCTACCCCTGAAAAACTCATCTTTCAGACACAGGTCACACCCAAAAACTCCAGGTCAGATTACACCAGACTTGTCAAACACACCGGACAGCTACAGAAGCTTACCTGACTTATGCCCAAATGACTCCTAGTTGTACATATGGCTATGTCTGACCTGATTCATGCTCCTGAATGTAGACTTATACATGCACAGCACAAGCTCAAGCAAAAAAGGGTTGCATACTGAATATTTACAGAATGGCAGGAATCTGTGGATATTCCTACAGACACATATTAATGGCACTTTGAATGCACACAGCTTCGGCTTTGATCAAAATCTGAGAATAAGCATCAGCTGCTATAAACCATAAGACTCAAAACGGTCTCTCTCCAGTCTCACCAGTTGCCTGGTCAAGCAGTCTAGCACACTGTGAAACAGAGAGACTGGATCCTCAGATGGAAAAGGTCAAGCAGACAGGGAAGGGATCTCAGGATTTAGAGGTTAGATCAGTACAGCAAAGGTTGAAGAGTACTTGCTGGGAAAGAAAAGAATAAGGTGAGAGAAAAATCAAGAGTTACAGAGAATAAGATGGGAGATAGAGAGCTAAGTGAATATTTTAATTTGTTCAAATGAACTAAGCTTCCTGGTATTTACAATCCATTTTAAAAAAAACACATTCACAGAAACTTAGGCAAGACTTTTCCAACTTGAAAATAAAACTCCCAAATGGTAGGATGAATACTTTAAAGAGTATTTGCAATGGAACTGCCCTCATAGCCATCTTGGGAGCCACTTTATGGGTGTTCTCTAGATTCCCTGCACCATTCATGATCCTTTTTAAGTAATTCACAAAGAAGCTATGTAAATAGTTCTCTCCCAGCAGCGTAACATCATCACAGGCCCTGGTTTGATGAGTGAAATGAAGCATATTCAGCCATTTCTCCAACCAGCATTCAAATCTTCCCCCAACTTTGGAGCATTGGATGTCTCTGGTCCTTGTCCCCTTTGCAACACTTGCATATGCAATAACTCTTTCCCTCTTTGGGGTGAGGGGAAGCCACCCAGGTTGTGTTCTCTTGCTAATCCACCATGCTAGTAAATTACTAGCTAATTCACTGAGCTACCTAATGAATAACAGAAAACAATGAAGTCATAAAAATCACAAGTAGCTTGTGTATAATTCAAAGTAGGGGGAGGAAAAGAGGTCTAAATATGCTAGGAATGTTATTTGCAAAGAGTTTTTTTCAGCAGATTGAGTTATTCAATGTTTGCCTGGAGAGAGATGAAGAAGAATGAAAGGGAACAGTAAGAAAAGACGAGACACAATGGGAATGAGCTAGTTAGACAAAAAACACACTCTACTTTTTGCCAGTAATCTTTTGCTTGGACAATTTTGGTTAAGTGCATATGATAACTGGCACCATGATTGGTAACCTCAGTCTATGTGTAAACAAAAAGTGGAGACATGGCTGCAGAATCATGAGTGTCTGAGGACAGCTGAGGTTTGAAGAGCTGTAATATCATGAGACTGCGCAGGGCCACAGAGGAACTGAAAGAAAATGAAAAGACCTCTTACTGTTATTTGCTATTCTGTTTGCTCTTGACTTTGTTCTGGTGTTTATTTTTGTATCACATGAAAACCAGCCTTGAACCAGCAGATAGAAATGCTGGAATAGATAATCACAGTAGCAGAGGAATTAGAACAGATCCTCTCCCTCATTACTGATGTGCCTACCAGTATCCCCCAGCTGAGTACTTCAAAGACAAACAGCTTCTTTAATTATTCATATTTCACTCGTGAAATTATTTTCAGCTCAAATTTGCAAAAAAAAGTACTTGAAGCCAAGGCATCGAATGGAAGATGCAGTCGTGCTCTACATTTATAACCTTAACTTTGCTGTTCTGCATTTCCAAGTAGAAGAAGCAGCAGCCAGTTTCCAAAACCTGTAACAAGCAGTTATACACCACGGACTCTCACACATCCTTCGTACAAGGATCCAAGCAGAAGATTTTATTCATTCCTGAGTACATTAGCAACTCTATGGGCAGGTGAGTCTGTAGTTTACTGTGTTTTAAACAAACTGTTCTGCTCTACCATTGGTTTTGTTTGCTTTCTGTCACAGTGTCCGTATAGGACACCAGAGCAGTTCCTACACAGTGGGGCTGATCACAGCTGGCATTCGTGAAGGTAGTGTTACTTGTTGCTTCCACCTAAACTAATCATCACCTTAGGATCATCCGAATGATCTCCATTCATTGTTTTTTTTTTTCTAGGAGTGGAAGGAATCATAGTTTTATTTTGCTATCACATTATTGGGTTTATAAAGCTCCTATCTAAATGGAGACAGAAGTAATGCAAGCAGAATCTTTTTTTCCATCCAGCTTTGCATGTACATTGTTTCTATCAGAAACTATGTGCAGCTGAGTGAAACACCGGCCTGCTGGGGCCACAGGAAGAGGCTCAACAGAAAAGAGGTCAGCCAAGCTACACCTCACCTGCAACTCTTGGAGGAGACAGCTTGAAGTTATGGCAGCAGCAAGCTGGGAAATGGGACATATTAGAAAGGGCGGGCTGGACAAGTCATATGTGTGCACACAGCATCTGCATGCACCCTGGGTCTGGATACAGTTAAAGACTAATTTTTAAGAACAAGCTTTGTACGCTTGCATGTTATTTTGTGTTTGTTACGGACTCAAGAATGTGACAAGCTAGTATGTCTTAGCTGTGGCAAACAACCAACCACAAAACCGTACTAAAATCTGCTAATACAGTAGAAATTGATAGGAAGCAGCTACAGGACATATGTAACTGGCTGCCCAGCAGCTCCAACTAGGCAGGGACACTGGACACTCCTTGAGCACCCAGGATGGAGCAACACTCCTTGATTAGGACACGTGAGTCATTCCTGTTTGCCAACACCACAATTTTGTCTCATTTGGGAAGGCAGAAAAACGTTTTGTAACGTGAAGACTATGCTCAGTTCAGTGTCTGAGGGAGCATCAGGCTGTTTCAGGTAATCAGCCTCAGTAGTTGTTTCTCAATGGTCAACCAGCAACAGCCTCAGTACCACAGTCCACTCAAAACAGCAGAGCAGATCTTAGCCCTGCTTTCCCCACAGCTTTTTCACAATTCAGCTGTGATACCAGCTCTCCCTGCCAGCTTTTAAGTTTTAAGGAGTTCCTCATCACCTCAGGAAATCTCTCATGTGTCCGGTTATGATTAGCACCAGTTTCTTTCACACTGCCAAAAGCAGTATGAACATCTGGTTCCTACCAAAAAGTCTTTCTGCCCTTCCTTTTTTCATTGAACGAATAACATTACTAAGGAGAAGCAATTCATGTGTGGAACATAACTTCATCTGATGATGAAGTCTGACTGATTCATCCATTCATTGGGAATGTAACCACGCAAAGGCAGCCTCCATCAAGCATCCTTTTGTTCTGAACTAGAATCCTACTCACGACAGGTAACCTAAGTGCATGCTGCTATCCCTAGCAAATCCTTCCTCATCCTGTACACTGTGTTTACAAGCTTCTGGAAGTCTCTGGGAATCAGACAAGTAAAGCAGAGAAGCAGCACCCTTCTGTAAGTCAACAGCCACGTGTCTTCACTCGAAGGTGCATGGAGATGGCGAAGATGCTGTAAGCTGTTAATTTACCCAATATTCTATATGCCATGAAAACAAATATAACGTTTGGTAAGATGTTCTATATCAGATTTCAAAACTTTGTCAAGTGTCAGATATCTCCAAGATATTTCTATGTCATTTACCTGCCCAGGGTTTATGCACGATGCATTTTATTTGCTTCAATATTTCCCTTGTTCATGCACTTTTATTTCTTGCTCTAGCCTAGTTCATAAGTTAAAATGAGTCTGCACAACATCCTCTTACACCGTAACCCAGAAAAGCACTCTCCCCATCATAAAATTACACTGGAATGATGTAAGTCATTTTCCAGTGCTACGTTATCCTGAGACAGACTTCAAGTAAGTTGTTGGCAAAATAATCTAAACCTCAGGGAGCACAAATCATCATTCACAGAGAAGTTCTCCCACTGGATTAGCATGATTCAGAGGCTGTGTCCAGCTTCCGAATGGCACATTTGCTCCAGAAACGTTATTTGTATGTCACAACGTTATGCATGTGCCACGCTGCGACCAGTACTTACCATCACTGCTCCCTCTGAGCACTACATCTGGAGACGGTGTCTGCTGTGAGCGAGAGCCAAAGGAGTCCAGACTGTCAAAGGAATCATCTCTGCCGTGACGAGGCGGGGAGAGGGAATCGCTGCGTTCAGAGTCCCAGCAGTCTATATAGCCGCTGTCACGAATGCTGCGCTTTGGGCTCTCAATATCCTCTGTTTCCTACACGGAAGTACAGCAGGTACCTCTTCAAGAAGGCACTGACACACCCGTGAGATCCATCACGCATCAGACAACAAAGCATCTTCCCAAATACTAAAAATCTCCTCCCCTAAAAAGAGTTTCCTTGTTTTCTACCCCCTCTCCCCTTCACAACAAAAATACAAGCATGCACTAAACCGCAATTTTATGCTGATTAAGAGGAAACCCCACCCATTAGATTAGTACGATGAACTGAGAAAAAGTTGCAATAGGCAAGTTAATAAACGCATCAAAACTGAAAGTAACCTGAAACTTGACTTGTTGTCCATAGTTCATAGCACAGGCAAAGGCACTACAATTTTAACATTGTGCCTGCATCAGGTTTAAGTCTGCTGCTTTCCAAAAGATCCCCCCTCCTCTTGCCCATCTATTGTATCCGGCCGGGACACCAGCAGACAGCATTTGTTGTTGCTGCTTCAGCTCGGCAAAATAATGAAGCAGTGTGCCCCAGCCTCCCTCTACCTTGAAGAGAAATTCCTGTTATGAAAGAGGGATGTCTTTCTGAAGCAATCAGCAATGAAAACTATGCAAAATGCTTTTCCTGATGCCTCAGAAGAATTCAGTTGTGCTCTTTACTCTTTGCCAGCTCCTGGCTCTGGGGGATATGAAAGCACTTGTAGCTGACCCACATGTTCAGAGCAGGGAGAACAATGGTTGTCTTTGACAGCCCTGTGATTATAAATTCTTTCCAGTGCAAGCAGCACATACTAAAACACTGAAACTCCAGCAGAGGAAAAGGTCAATAGAAGCCATCCTCACCCTTGCATTATAATAAATCCCTTGTTTTAGAGAGTGTCTTAACATTAATTACAATCACACAGGCTCAGAAAAAACAAAAATAACTACTTTTATTCAAAGATAAATCTGTTTTTTTCTCCCTCGACAGTAAGTAAAGTCAGAGATGTGGGTGCCATTATCAGACTGACATTTTACGACCCAAAGAGGCTGGAATGTGATATTTTTTTTCCCCCCTTCTTTCTTTTTTTTTTCCCAGAAGCATTTGAATATTAATTCCTAATTAAGAAGCACCCCCTGCTTACGACTAGCTGGAGCACAATGGCGACGCTGAGCACAGCTCCCACTGTTCCTGACTGCTAAGGTTTTACCCGTTTCTACTATTGCCAATGGGAAGATCAATCAAGACCATCACAGTACGGTACGCCGGGCCACCTCCACAAGAAAGTGGGTTTACTGGAGAAGTGATAGAGGGAGGAGGGCCCTGCAGGAACACACCAAAGCTTCTGTGCTGGAAAAGAGGGAGGCTCAAAGCGAGACGGAGAGATCAGACCCAACGTCCTGCAGACTTTTCAGGAAGAAGGCTTAATTAGTGCCACTCACTATTATGCTGCCAAAATACCACATTAAGGGCAGCGGCAAAGGTCCCCTAAGGCCAAGCTAAACTGTGGTAATGTCAGTAAGTAACCTCACTGCAAATAGAAGTGAAAGTATTTTCTAAAACCAAATAAAATACATCTAACAAACTAGTAATTGAATTCTATGTAATGTCCTTTCCCAGTCCTGCTTAGTAAACTAAAATACTGGTAGAAACACTAGATAACAAAGGTCTGTCTCCCTGAAATCTGCGTGAGTTACACACATCCAAGAATAAATCTAAAAATCCTATCAAAATCCCGTTTGTGACACGATCCAAAAATCTTTTTAAAAATCCAAATTCCCTAAATCCCCTCATCCCTTTATACCAATCAGCTATTCTCAAACCTTGGGCACACTTCCATTTTCCTAAATTACTGTATTTGAATGACACAGAACTGCTCAGCAGCTACAGGGACTTAAACTCAGGCAAAAAGCTCCATCCTGCATTCACTATCTTCCAGAGTTTGAAAACAGTCCAACTGTGAACTAATGAGTTCTGCAGACCCTCCTTTCAAAGGCCTGTTGATGTTAATTTTGCATGCCGCTCACCAGGAATTAGGAGGCAGGCACCAGGATGAGATCCTAGACTTCTGTAAACATGTTCTTTACAGCCTTCCCCTTGGCAAAGCTACTCTCCCAGCCCAATGCCGCTGTCTCACAGACGGGTACTTGTCCTGCTCTGAGCAAACGTCATCTCCCAAATGTTATCAGTGGGAAAAAGAAAGTGGTTATCTTCAGGACTGATAACACCATAACACGACACACAACAGCACATTAGTCTTTCATATTATCTAACTGAAAACGCAGTATGTCACTGAGTGGTAGTAAAAGTGTGACTGCCAAATACAAGATGTGTTTCTCCAGGAAGTTCCACCCATGAAATATAATCAAAAAGCCATGGATGTTTTGTCATTGGGAATTTTGAGTTTAAAAGTAAAAGACGACTGCATATCCCAACAGTTAATGAAATTAAAAACAGAGTAGCATGCATAAAATTAGAAATGAATAGCCTTTTCAGTATGAGAAGTAGAAAAAGATGAATCCGAGACAACTTACATCCGAGCTGTCTTTTGATTTGCTTATTAAAAGAGGAGGGCAGAGAGGATTTATAACAGAAAAACTAAACTAGGCTGAATTTATGGCCGATTTAATTATTAAATTCTGTGGAAAAAATGTCAGTAGAGAATGTGATAAAGTGTCTTTTCATCACCCGAGCTCAGCTATAAAGAACATCAGAGTGTTGCGCAGCATGATTAACATGTTCTATTTTACAACCAAATCCTCTTCAAATTCAGTAACAGACAAGCCCACAATTACCAGCGGGAAATACTACAGGGGTACAGGAGCAGAGAGGTGACCTTAATGTAAGACACCAGTGGCTCTTGTGACAGTACCACCTACACAAGACTTTTCAGGACTGCCAAGTGCTCTGGTTTTACATTAAAGGAATATATAGCTCTCAGCTTTTATGAGAAGTCTACTCTGCTCCCAGCACCAACATCTGCAACGAATCAAGTCCCAGCCTCTTGCTTTTGTCCTCGACCTGCAGCGCTCTACGCTGCCTAGCCAGGCGCTCCATGATCATCACCTTCTCTGGAGAACGCTGCCTTTCAGCCCCAGCCTACTCATCCCACAAAAGGGCTCAAGATGGGACCTCCAAAATGCTCTGATGATTAGTTTGATGGGTAAACATCACCTGGAAAAAGAGGAGCCTGATGCTGCGAGATTAAATATTAAAAAATAACCCATGATACCATGTGGCACTAACATTATTACAACCTGCACTTTGGCAATTTTTCTGCGTTAGCTCCCTTATCCGTCTCTGTTTCACCTTTCAGACTCTTTGGAGTGGGTACTGTTCCTTCCCTGCATCTTCTATGTGGAAACAACTCAAGTAATAATTTCATTTATTTATTGCTTGGTCTCAGTCATATCACTCATGAACCAGCAAAGTCCTGAGCGATCAGCGCAGGTCATTTCAAATGAATACCAAAATAAACCTCTACAGAGAAGCAGGATGTTCTCTCTTCCTCTCCGTTTCCACCTACTTGTTCACAGGAACAGGGCTCACAAACAGATTTTCTGCGTCTAGTTAAGGCTCTCTGGTCACACTAGGGTGTAGGAACTACTATCAGTCAGCCAAGTATTTCCTCCTCTCCAGGGGCAATCCAGTGCTGGCCCTCTGAGATCCCAGAATGAAGAGCTGCAGCTGGTGTAGATGCAGTAGCACAGAGCTCAAGGAGAGTAGTCTCTCCCATGGTCCCCAAACCCTACTGCCTGTCGTGACTTATCCTTTACATGAGATGGGGAGGGAGTAGCAGGCACAAAGTTCTCTGTGGGCTGAAGAACATATCTGCATGGCCTTCAAGTGCAATATGTCCAACACATGCAATGCTAGCACCAGGTGATGCCATCTTCTTATAGGCCTGCTCCTTGCCCTTCCATCCCCAGTAAATGCATGCTTGGATATCAATGCTAACCATTACTGAGGTTAAGTGTCTCAAGTCAAGGTTCAGGGCATGCTGGAGTGCTCAACCAAAAGTCCCCAAACCACCCTACTGCGCAACCACAATTTTTCTTTTTCAAAAGAGATCAGCTCATCATAAACCACCAAAATATGATTTCAGCCAGAATTTAGAGCTTGGCAAAACACAGATTCATCATAACTATGCCCTTGGTGAAACATAATCTTCTCCTCCTACCCTTCAGCTTTATTTAGATACTTTGGTTTGATGATTTATGTTGCAACTTAAAAACAAAAGAACTGCCCATGAGACTGAATGTTTTAAAGAAGAAAAATCTCTGTCCTGTGAGTCCTGCAACCTTACTTTTGAGCTTCAGCTCTTCTAGCTGAAACTCTGTGTCATAAACAAAAATAATTCAAACAAAAACCTATGGAAATGAAGACGACAGAGCCACGTGACAATTCTAAAGCCCTGTTTGACATCACATGCTGCATTGTTGATACCACCAAAAAGCTGGCTGCCAAAGAAAGCTGTGTTCATGGCTTGGTAGAGTCAGAAACACTTTCAGAGGAGGTAGGGGTTTACTAAGTAATTTGTACTTCAGCCCACTACTTCTCTCATATTTAGAAACAAACAGGTTACATATGGGAGTAATAATTCGCATGAAACTTTCATTCCCAAAACATAACAAAAAGATACCTTTCTCATTTGTGCCAGCAAACCTTCAAACTCCTTCAGGTTCAGGGTTGATCCACTATATGACGTGCAGCTGTTTGCCGCTTTCCCTAGCCAATAAATGGTGACTAATACCTGCAGAAGTTAATAAGAATTAATTGAAGCCATCTAACACAGTCACTTAGCTAAATTTATCTCCCTTGAGCATGTAAACTGCACACCAGCACAAGTTTTCATTATAAATCACAATTGAAAGGGAAGTGTCTGTCAGCGGTTAAACATAAATACATCAGGCACCTATGAAAATTTAAACAGTCCTACAGAACTTATAACTTAACACATTATCTTCCTGGTACTTTTATCAAAAAATGAAACTGTCATGTCCACCTGGAAAATAAACAGCAAAAATAAATCTGAACAGAAAAACTAGGCAAGATAGCTGAATCTGTCTAGAAGACACACTTATCTGTTTGTAAATCCAATAGGAAAAAAAATCCCTAAAGAGTACTCATACTAGTGGTCATTAATTAAAATCTCTAAGACTAATAGAATAAATAAAACATCTGAAACATGTGCCTGCCTATTTCAAGGGCAGAAAAGGTAGTTCCATTTTTAATCATCTTAATGTAATTAACTAGATGACACAGGAACATTTACTTCCAGGCTAGCTTAAGAAACACTTAGCTCAAGAGTAATCAAAAGCCATGAGCATCTGGTCATTTCTATCAGACTAAAGCAGAAAGTGTCAGTGGTTTCATTCAAGTTCTGAGTTGATGTCTCTCCAGAACAAAAAAGTCACTTCAAAACTAGTGCAGAAAAAAAGCCCAGAATTACTCTTCTAAATGTTTATATTCCCTTTCGCTCCTACAGGTAGCAAAGAAATCTGATCTGACAGTGCTGGTGCTGCACTTGTTTTAGGAAAGGAGAAATTAAGATGCTTAGGATGGTCAAATCCAACACCTCCAAAAATGTTGATATTTATATCATGGAGGAAAAGCAAACAGTCCTTCTCTGCATCCACACACGTCTCCACTTAAAGCAATGCTTTAATGGTACCTGTGCAGCAGCAATTTGGACTGGAAACCGATCATCAAAGGCAAATCAGTTCAGTGTTTGGTTAAAAATGCCAAACTATCACCTCAGAACTTTGGGCTTTTTCTCATTTAATGCTTGTTCTGCATATTCCGTGACATTGCAAAGTATTTAACTGCAGAACAGGAAATATTTTGATGTAGAAAAGATGTGCAACCAACAATAAATAACAGCCGCCATTAACTGTCTCAAAAAAGTTAAATAAATTGAAAGATAGTATTTTATGTTTTGATGGGACAGGGCCATATAATTAATACTATATACTGAACTAAAGAAAACAGGACTGGGAGAAATCCCAAGGGGACACTGGGGACAGATATCTGTCAGACTCTTTTTTTCCTAAAACATGCACCCACATTCCTTCAGTGCTTCTTCCTCAGTCACATATGCTAGACTTCTGACTAGCCTTTTCTCAACAACTTTCTCTAACATCTCAATTTTTCATTTAAGTGTGATGTTCAAAATCACACACTGCACTCCAGCTGAGGTCCTGCCAGGATACAGTATGTGTCATACAGATTCCCTGCTTAAAAACAATTGTGGTGCGTAATGTAAAATATAATATATTTTATATATAAATATAGTTTGTATTTCCTTTTTGTTCATAAATAATATACATGCCATGAAAAAACAGAATAACATTTTTAATAAAGTTCAAAAAGTTTCCCCTTGTTTTAAAAATTACATCCAAATTTATATTACTGGGCTGAGGTAAAGGAGGTGGTTTCACCAACACCGATTTTTTTTTGTCTTGAAACCTTTATCTGAGCTGTTTTCCTTCAACCAGCACTACTCAACAAATTTATGTAAAAAATTCTTACAGTACATGTTCTCAAGCTAAGTGAAAACACTTGCAAATAAAGTATTCCTAGCAACCAGGAAACTGTCCAATTCATTTTGCCATTCAGTTCTCTGATGAAAGTTGTGGTATTTTTATTTATTTCTGCTAGCATTTGATCACTTTCTCTCTTCTTCCTTTCTTTATCCACTTTTTTTTCCCCCCCCAAATAATGTCACATTTGCAAGCAATTCCAACTGGCTGCCAGTCGAGCTTGCAGGGTTATGCACCTGGAAAGCATATATTGCCTACTAACACATTGTGGAGGATATTTTTGAAAATTTACCTCTAAAAAAATACATCTGTACAAAGATATTTAGCCAGTGCCCACAAGGGTGCTAAAATGCCAAAGCTGAACTCCTCCCCTGCAACTTTGTGTGCTGGATGCGGATGATATTACTCTAATGATGATGAGAAAGACCAGATGAAATAATTTGGGGGCTTTTAAATGTTTTTTTCATTGTGTTTTTTTTTTTTAATTTATTTTTTCACCTGAAGTCATGATTACTAGCTTGCAAAGTTATTAGGAAAAGGTCTTGACATTTCCTAGCAGTTTATAGGGATGTGAGCCAAATATAAAATGAATTTATAGCAGTTTACAGCTGACTAAGGCAAGACAGCTTGCTAGGCTTCAGCATAATGACTAACTGAGACCAGGAAAGTTTAGCCATATTCTTTTCTACTTAAAAATTACAGGATCCATTATCATTGCTAATTTCTTCTTGATTTAAACTAATGAAGTTAAATGGAATTAGCTTTTCTGAGAAAACACTCATTTATTTGGAAGAACAATGAGAAAGCTAGCAAACCTGACAGTAAAGACTTGCATCCAGATCTAAGGATCATTTTGCTTCATTTTAAATACTTTGTGCAAATTTACTTTATGCCCATATATTCATGAAAGGCTACAAAAGCGTAGCTTCACGGGCGAGTCAGACCATTCCCAGTGAAAACCATGATGGACAGCACAGAGATCACATTCTTTATCCCTTAATTAAGCAGAGACAAACATTCTCCATTATGTTTCTTTTGTAGGGCTGCTTTGCCATAGCAGCTCTACCAAAGTTTGCAGTAGAACCTGGTTAGGTTTGTGTTTAGAAGAACTCTTCAGCAATGCTCACCTGTACAAAGATTTTACTGACATAATTCTTGCTCAGGTCAAACATAGGATTAACCAGACAAAAAAAAAAAACACCAACCAAAACCACAAAACTCCAAGTCATGTACTTACATTTTTCAGCTTCCTACTATAGTCAGTGTTCCTGGTTACACACACACACAAAAAAAAAAAGAGGGGAAAAAAAAACACAATCAGAAAGCAGACACACTTTCCAAGAGCATGTATGCAGCAGATCACATTTTCCCTTACAGAAGTCTGCAGAATGCTTCTGCTGGCTGGAAACATATGAAAGCTAAGAAGATATAGTTCACACATTCATTAATTCACAACGCAGGAGTGTTTTGTCACCATTACTTCAATCACTAAATTAGAATTCTGGAAGTACAAAAAGAAAATGTGTTTATAATGGTCCCACAGTAAAGTAGGGCAGTGTCAAAAATACTTCCTTTAAACAATGTTGCTGATTTCTTCAAAAAAGACCAAAGTCCTCACTGCTAAAATGCATTCTGCAGTAATCCAACAGTCAGATTCTGCTCTGGGATAAATCATGCAACCCATACAGATCCTGGAAGCAACTGAATATGCATAGGAGACTGAGGAAATCACCACCACACATTAAGGAAACAGAGCAGGTGCTTCTGTAGAAACAAGCATCACAAAGAACAAAGTACATGGGTGAAGCAACAAAGATCCTGCCACTTGCAACAGAACCTGTTGTGGAAAACACTTTGTTTTTTGAATGGATACTTGGGCACTCAGACTGAACATTGGCAACCTCAATTTAGTTTTTCACCAACATTCAAAGGGTGGAAGTTTTATGTTAGAAACAACTAAGCACAAGGGTAGTGCAACCATAAACAACACTTCAAAATTCAGCAAAGAAACCATTAAAAAAAGAATGGAGGAAATGTGTATCACATTTAGGTGCTGAAAAATAAGTAAGAGCAGTTCAGATGTAGTACAGCTTGTCTTTTGATTATCTATAATGGAATTGCCTTCTACTATAACAGTAAGTCCACTCCAGCATTAAAAGTTACCTGATAAAAATGAAAAAAAAAGTACTTAAATCTGTGAGAACAAGAAAAGCCTAAATATAGGCAATACTAAACCAAAGTATTTTTGATAACATCTTTTTTTAAGCCAAAATTTCATCCACTAATACCCACATACTAAGAAAAATAGACCAGTCCTATTTTTTTTTCTTAATAAAATAGCAGTGGAAAAGAGTCTTGTTTAACAAGTCAAGAAGAAATTCTTTACAGCATTACCTCATAACTTTTATAAGCTGAATGTTCCAAAAAAAATAGATCAAATGCATACTTCAATTAACATCTATATGAAAAAAAAACCTGGTTAAAATATCATTATCTTAATTATGTACAATAATGTCATATTTCTCCTTTACTACAGAAAAAATACAATTTTTACCATTTAAAAAAAATAACTCAAAAGTCTTCAAAGAGGGAAAAAAAAAATCACCTTCATGCTTTGGGAACTAGCTAGCAGAAGACAGTCTTGAACATATTTCTCTACAACAGTCATGGACTTGGCTTGTACACCTCAACTCAGTTACTCAGCATGAACTTGGACAGTGCTAGGAAAACATTCAGCTCATTTCCACAGCTGCTTTCTCTGAAGAATTGATGGGGGAAAAAAAAAAAAAAAAGATCCATGCCAGTGAGACACTTCACGTCTATCTAGCATCATGTCCAGCGGAGGGCCAAGCCAGCTCCACAGAGTTTATTTCTCCTGGTTTAACTTGCTTACATGCTGGACAGCTCTCCTTGGAGCTCCAGGCTAGTCCCAGCCTCTCAAACTGCCTCCTACTGAGATGCTCCATCATCCTCAACCTCAAAAGATTAAGCTTCTTATCAGAAAGACGCTTTCTCTCTGGTTTTATATGGAGATTAGGGATTGTTTTGTGACTCTCTCCAGCCACTCACGGTCATGATTTTACAGGACGTCGTGAAGAAACTTCTTCATTATGATATTACCAGATTTAAAAGAAATGCTACCTAGCTCCCTCTTACTGGTATGTACAGGCGAGAAAAACCTTGTGTTAGAGCCAGAAACTTGGAAAGGAACAAAAGGTGGGAGATTATTCCTTTAAACAAGGAAAGTGGCCAATTCGATTTTCAAAAGCTTTGAATTTTCCCAGACAGTGCTTGAACACTAGGAAAACTTGCCCAGCTTCCACTGCCAGAAGGGAGGGAAAAAAAAAAAAAAGAAAGAATGCCGCTGAAATTTAGTAAATTGTTTCCATATACTTTTCTAAAATGGGTATGTCTGACCAGGATTTCATTAGTGATCTTTTTGGCTGAATGAAACAAGGCCATTCAATCAACTCAGCAGTATTTGCTTGTCTGTAGAGCAGTAATTTTTTAATATTAAACATGATAGACCCAAAAATTTCAGGAAAACATCTACATAACAGCAATTACAAATTTTGTTAATTTTACGAAAGTGTGGGGTGCTCTTGCTTTTGGGGGGTGGGGAGCTTGATTGCCAAAAGAGAGAAAAATACAGTTTGATTCTGTTGCTCTAGTCCATGATGACAAAGTTTCCTTGAAAGAGACAACAGTTCCTATTTAAGACCTCAATATATGACTATATGGACTTTGATTCAAGTCTGTTCTGTGTGACTTTAGGCAAGTCAGTAATTCTGTGCCAGTTTCACATCTATATTTTAAATCACTTTGTGGGGTGACATGCTGAAAATACAGGCTTTGGAGTCTAAGCACCTCTTTGCAGTGAGGGATGTGCACATACCATGGTTAAAAACCTGTTGATTAAAAGGAGATTTTTAAAAAAAATCACTTCATTCCCCTCAAAAAATATCAATTAGTTATTAGGAAGGAGAACCTCTTAATACCCATGTAGTAATTTGTGTGGTAGTAGGTGTGTGGTTTGGTGAAAAACTATCTCAACTGTGTCATTTCCAGTCCACACAGTTCACACAGACATCCTCAGCCCAAATATCATGTCCCAACCTACAGTTCCAGTTAGAAGATAAACAGACTGTGCTCATGTCTGCACCTCGTTCAGTCTGAGAGGTCTATAAATGTCCTACAATGCATCTTCAAAACAGTTTAATCTGAAATAACAGGGCTGTGATTTTCTTTTCCCAGCCTACATAGTTCATTAGTTGAGCAGACAAAAAAGAATGCCATCAATTTAGACTCAGGAAAACCCCTAAGTCCCACAGAATCTCATTGCTTAACTAAATCAGTATTTTAAAAGATCTGTGGTTGATCTCTCTGGGAAAAATAACAGCCCTTAGAGAAAGTCTGTTGAAGGGAACAATGTATTCTGGCCAGCGCTGAAGGTTTCCCAAACATTAGCTTCCTATTTGCTTGATACGAATGACAGTTCTATACCCTCTTTGCTCATCCTTAAATATTTACTGTTGAATCACATGCATCTGAGGTTGTAACATGCTAATCGCAAACTGCTGTTGTACTTACTTGATGGTTACTCTGTTTGATGCGTCCTGCAGATCACCAGGGTCAAAAAGCTGAGATTCTTTAAGTCCCAGCTCTTTGCAGCCTCTTAAGAATAAGATGATATTATCCTGAAATGAGGAAAACAAAAAAAAAAACCCACCAAAACCATTAACTCTTCTTCATTAAAAAAATAAAATTCCACTGAACTAATCTATCCCTAACAGCTCAGAGTCATATCGCTAGCTAAATGAAGAACCAACGACATTTCCAATCACGTAATTTAAGAAGTCAGTATGTGTTTTGTTTGAAAACCAGATAAATATGAAACTTTTTTAGATATGTAACTGCAACAATCTTTTTGACTTTTCTCTTTCCAAACCCAGATGTTGGCAACTACTTTAACTGCAAAAGCCCTGCTAATTTCCTCACCAACACAACTTGAGCATTTTAAGGGGCAGAAAAGGCAAGGCTGGATTTCTGAAGGGAGCAGGAAGGGTAGATATGAAACAGTTCACCACCATTTAAGAAAGCGTTTGTTCAGAAAACATTTGGCCTGTCGATATGAACAAGCCAGTTACTCCTAGTTAACACAACCAGTCTCTTGCCTCTCCAACCTTCACCAGCTGGAAGCCGCTGGGAAAAGAGGTTGGTGCCTTCTCCTATAACAAAATGCTACTCTTTACACGACTGCTATTTGTAAGATGAAACACCACCAATTTTGTAACCCCTTTTATGGAAGATATATACTTCTCAGAGCGTAACAAAAAATCAATAACTAAGAGAAATAAAGCACAAACTGACATAAGCCTCTTTCAAACTAAATACGAGTTATGATACATGAGTTTGCACTGAGGGGATTAAATCTGTATATATGCATATACATGTAATATATGTTTTACACTTACTTACATATATGCATGTACACTGCCCCCCTTTTATAGCACCAGAGAATCTTTCTCATGCAGATAAATCTTGAAAGTCAGTAGATATATATATATATATATGTTGCTAGATCAGCGACTGCTACAGTAGATGTGTGGACAAGGAAGGATATAATATACAGCCTGATATTCTCTGTGGCCTCTCATCTCAAACCTCCAACTCAAGGTAAGCTGCCACATGGAGTTAGAGAGGAGCAAAACCACAGCATGGGGCAGAAACCTCCATTTTCGTCAAAACTGGGAAGCAGTGGAGCCTGGGCGGCGTTCAGCTCTTGCCCAACCCGGGTGGCAGAGCAGGTTCCGCGAGCAGGGCTCTCCCCACATCTGCTCCCCAGCTTTTGTTTGGGTTGCACGGGCACAGCTCGGCGACAGCAGCCCTGTTTGTTCTGTCGGGGCGCAGCGATCAGCATGCTAATCGCTGCGGCTCTCTGCATGCCAACGCTCTCGCACACAAAGCTCACTGTCACCAGCCACACCGCAAGAAAATACGGACTTGGAAATTTAGAGGAGTCCCAATCTCCCTTTCTTCCTTGGCTGAAACTTAACAGCTCTGGAGGGGAGCCAGGGGGAAAGGAACAGCAGTCAAGAGAGCAGAGAGCCCATAACCCAGAGAGACAGCACCATTCATGACATGAAAAGATGCTTGTAAAATTCCCCATCTGGCTTACTATTTGCATTATAATTTTTCCAACTGGAATGTGAATAACTCTTGTGTTTAGCCTTTGATGGAGGACAGTTCTTCTGGTCACTTCCAAATGGTGAGTGGAGCAATGTTAAGTCTAATAAAAATGCAAAAGCATTAAAAAAAAAGTTCCTAACAATATTTCCCAACAAAAATATACAGGATATACAGGACACAGTAACCTAATAGGTTTAGAAAACAATCAAAGGAGGGGGAGCTCCAGGGATAACTAATTGCACCCATCTTTAGGCCAAAAGTCCACATCCAAGTTATGATAAGCAGTAACAGAAATACAAGCCATTTGGCAGCAAAGTAGTTTGGAAACTCGGTTCTTCTGTTGATGAACAAATGCCCACTTCTCAAAAAAAACCCATGTCACCACCTTATGCCTGTTTTCATACACGCTTTTATTTTGATGGTCATTATAAGAATGTTTGCTAACCGTCACTAACACCATCACCCAAACAATTCCTTAGAAAGCTGGTATCTTATATGGGCATAAATAACCACGCATGTCAACAACATGCAATCAGTCAGCACTGAAAGTTTTTGCGCCTGTTAACAATCTCGTAGTTTTACTTCCCAATGGTCCTAAAAATGGCAATTTGTTTAAAAGGATTTAAGAAAAGAGCCAATGAAGAAACTGCTTTCAAGTGACAGATATTCAGGTAAACCTGCCTAGACTGCATAACTCCAAGTCAAAATGTGTCTCATACTACTGAAAAACTAAATTTTTCTTGGTTTGCTTTGGTACAGTTGAAAGTTGTATTTTTTAGTTCTATTGAGACACTGGAGAACTACACTCCTAAACCACTAAAAGAAGTCTTATCGTGAAGACCCAGCACTCTGAAAGCTTTCTCCCTGGATTACTACACCTTGCATTGACCACATCCTGGTTTCTTCAGTTCTCACAAAATTTTGCTTAAATTTTTTGAGAGAAATTATAGTTCCATATCTTTTAGCTGTAACTACACATTTTTTTCAGTCACCTGTTCTAAAGTCACACTTCTTTGTTGCTGTTGAAGAAACCAAAAAAGAATAAAAAACAGACACAAAAAACACCCCCCACACTTTTACAAACAGCAACATGTATAAAACATCCTTACCTTAAGTAAGGGTCTGAAAACACACACCTAATGTGCATGTCCAGCTCCTTACAACTTGGCGGAGTTAAATAGGTCACGCAAATGGGTCACACTGCAACGGCGAGCACCGCGGCGCGGCCAGCTGCCGTGCCTCAGTTATCAGGGTGGTATCTTTTACAGGGGTCTCAGAAGACGTGTGACCAGAATTCAGTCCCTCTGGCAGCCCCTACAAGGCACTAACACACAATTTACTTAATACATCAAATGGAGATGGTATTGCCTTTCTCTGAGTGGCTACTTGCTGCCATTGCAGAATTGGAGTAGATGGAGGACGGGTCATTTGGTCAGCACATCATTTCCCACAGCCCCAGAGGACCTGCAACTGTCTCCTGCTGGCTCCTCTTGCTTTCAATCCACACCACTATTGAATCAAAAATCTTCTTTTTGTCCTTGTATACTCAGAGAAAGAGCGAGCTTATGGACTACAGTTTAAATCTCTTCTGCAAATTGTATCTATTTTTTGTCTATAAAATATTATCTCTATAAATCTATAATCTATAGATATCTACAAAAAATTACCTGTGTTTTCTCTATTAAAAATGACATAAACTCTAAACAGGTTGCTTACAGAAGACAAACGCTTCAGTGTGGTGACAGACAGAGGACACAAGCACAGGATACACTGATAGGTTAAACGCCAACCCTTTTCTGCTTGCCTAAGCAGAGTCCTGACAGTTCCTATCGGATCAGCACTATAGGCAACATCATTTACTTCTAAGTATTAGAAATGCAAAAGTTATTAATGTAAATGTTTTGCTATGCTGAATTTCAGAACAGAAAAATTAACCAACACACGAAACATTACAAACTCTCAGGCAAAGCCAGCCACAAATCAGTAAGAAGGGCCGGGGGGGCGAAAAGGGAAGGACGAAGAGGAGCGCAGGGCACTGACTCCCTCAGTCCTGAGTCAGAAGGATACATGGGAAGGAAGGGAAAGCTGCTCCTGCTCTCACAACTACATTTCTACACCACCATCTTTTCATCCTTTCTCGTGTGTAACCTGACCGACTCACCTCTACAAAATCACTTTGCCAGGACAACCACCTGCAGGTAAAGCAGAAAGAATGGGAGGCAGATGGGTTACACCTCCATGAAGGTGGAGGGAGGGAGGAAGAAATAATACGCTGCTCACTTGTAATCATACTTTTTTTTCCCCTGTTTTTAAAAGACTGATAACCCATGTGCCATAAATATGAAAAAACATTCATAGGTCATTTTCCTCATACACAAAGTAGAGCACAAAATTCTGAACTCTATAAAAAAGCCCACAGAAATTGGCAGTTGTGCAGGACAGACACCCTGGAAAGCCACCACAAATTCACACAGTAGCACTGCCAACACACAAGATAGTTCAAGCTAGCGAGAATCAAATATTCACAGCAGGCAAATTCCCTCCATAGGATCTGCTGATCAGATGCAATGGCAAACAGCTTGAACTTGGCCCGCTTCCATTCCTTTCATCTGCCACAATAGTATACAAAATATTCCCACTGTATCCACGCTGCAAATCAGACCTGCAGCTTATCACTGTGGAATCATCATTTGTCAGATGTGCTACTGCATGGCCTGGATGAGATATCGAGATAAACTCAGGGAAAACAAAAGGCAAGCCAAGCTGTACGTCTGCACAGAACGCCGAATAAAACGCCAAGGGCATGCCACTTCTGCGAGTTGGAGATATTATTAGTTGCCAGTAGCACCACGCTGTTTCGCAGGACAGCTGCAGACAAACAGGTGGCCTTTTTCGTTTCTGGAATGCTGAAATTTTCCCTGATCCAGAATAAATTGGAAGATTTCTTTTTTTTTTTTTTTCCCAAACTGCTTTTCTGAGCAGTTTTCAATACAGACTCTTAAAAGGCTGTTGTTTACTCCCAGCACTACTTCCTAAGTCGCTCATTTTCCCATTTTATACAGATAATCAGTGGTGATAATTTATTTATATAAAAGCAATGGATCTCGACTGATTCACAAGCAGATGGAAAGGAAACACTGAAATATTCAGTTCAATTCCACCAGGAAAGAACTTCCATGAGAGAGGCTGGGAACTTTTCATGCATATATATAAAAATACACACACACACGCACATATTTGTTTTACTATTTATTCAATATGTTTCACTATATATACTATGTTTTACTATATATCTAATGTTTTACTATATATACACAATGTTTTACTGTTTATACAGTATGCTTTACTGTATATACACTAAAACTACACTTCGCAAAACATCGTTATGCGCGGCAGATTCCAAGTCAGTAGATTTGGAAGGAACTCGACGGTAGTCAGGAGACGTTCACTTAGAAACTTGGGATGCTTAATACCCGGCGGACGAAGGATGACAGCCCACCGG